TATATATATATAAAATGAATAGTACCTTGGCTTTTTGTATGAGCATTTTTTTATTGTCTGAAAGAATGCTGCTGTCAAAAATGTGCACAAATGATCAATTTGTCTGGTGTTAGTATGAATGCGTTTTTAATCTCCTATGCACGCCTTGGGCCCATGTTGTGGGGAAAGGCGGGATACAAATGCTCTTATAATTGTAATCCAAATAAAAGATAATATTATAATTAATGTCGTTTTTGTGACACACTTACTGGAATTTTAAAACGTGATATACGCTTTTACTCCTTTTCATACAGTCTAACCTGCAACAGTCCAAGACAATCACCAGTCAAGCATACCACTTTCCACTTTCTCCTTTGCGTTGTTACTCCGTTATAAATAACGACACTGCCTATCTATCTTAGGCAACCACTTTTCTCCTCGACAATGGGTGACCGTATAGGACATTTTCAACAGTGTTGGCAAAGATGGGGGGGGGGGGACAAAATAGGGGCGAGGGAGACAGAAATGGTCGAGGGGGTGGGGGTATCGTCTTTCAAGGAATGTAAATAATATCCATAAGCATGAGGTCAGGGAACCTCTTACTTTAAGCCCGTGGGATGCCCGAGCATTCATTCTTGACCGCGGCGTAAGACCAGACAACCAGACACAATAGTCATTATTGAATAAGATCTATCTGGATACCTCTGTGCAACACGCGGCAGGTTGGAGTCATACTTGAGTATAAATTACACAGATAAATCAACAGTCAATTTCAGATAGCCATGCGTTCAAAAAAGATAGGAAATTGAATATTTGTAGTTTCCACCAAGCAGTTACTCCACCACTCCCTTCAACTTCAAAATATCGCACATGCATATGAAAGCAACAACACTATGTAAATATGATATGATAATGATAAATTTCGTTAACTCACTAAAAACACTAAGATACATGAATACTGAATAAATGCTCTCGTATATACGTAAGCAACATGTCAACTTTTAGCATATTTACTCCCCACCCGTAGTGGGTACCATCAAAGCTGACTGTTCCATTACTGAAAGCAAACGTATCCAAATATGGCACTTTCCAAGTTCTGAGGATTGTCTGAATGCCCTTGTTAAATTTCTGCACTCCGCCCGCAGTTTGAGCAGCGAAATGGGGAGATTTGAGTAAACCAGGGGCGTGTGTTCCCATCCATAGGAGGCGGGGCCAACGCCGATGAGGCTCCACCCCTTCCGAGGGTAAAAGGTGAAATAAAACGGTCGAGTTTGTGAATTTGACTTGTCTGTCTTCAGGGGGTACACTACGATTTCCTTTGAACATTAACGACTGAAAAGCTGGAGGGTCCTTGTCTGGTGATACAGTTGTGTTCGTCGGCGTCTCATAACTTTTATTTCCTAACTTTTGCAGCCAGTTTGGCTCTATGTTTAGAGCTTTGAGAATCTGACTCGCGCTTTTTCTTTGAAAAGCGCCAAAGTTTCCTCCGAAATCGCCATCTCCCTGTAGAGGATAACTGATTCCCAAAGCTTTCAGTATCTGATCTGGGTCGTATTGTAAAAGATACTCAAACAGCGAGGAAACAGGTTGGGCGCTGGAGTTCTGTAACACGCCGTCCGTCAAAGAGGAAAAGTTAAGATTTCCGAAATTGGTGACAACGTCGTCAAGTGTCACGTTCATGGACGTGTTCGTGGAGAGTTTCTCGTGGAGGTTGAGAAACGGTAAGAGGAAACGCCGTGCCACTGAATCTGTGTTGAAGTTGTCATGGATACCAATACCCATGATGAGGAGCGAGTTATTGACGTGGCGTAGAGAATGGAGCAAAGGTGGCGTCAGGCGAAACTCGGTGGAGGGGAAGACTTGTGTGTATCTCGCCTGGTGGACGAGACAAAAGATAAAATAGAATAACATACGTCAAAACTATCCAAGATGACCGCCCATTGTCGAGGAGATAAGTGATCTTCTTAGACAGGAGGTGGTCCTTTTGTACAGTGTCATTATGATATAGAAAAAAACATGGGGGGG